CCCGGCGCGGCGGTGGCGGCGTCGATGTGTGGAAGGAGTAGCCCCAAGACGAAGAAGCAACTTGTTCTTTGCCGAGGGCGTGCCCGCTAGAGGGAAACCCCTAGGGGGGGGGGGATTTGGCCCGAAACACCTCTTGCCGAATCCTTAGTAGATAGTTAAAATGATTCCCTCTTCTATTACACTACCATTCCAATCTAAATATATGTTTTGTGGCTAAATTTTCATAGAACAATTAACATTTTTTCCATTTACTACATAATGTTATCTTGGTATTGTATGTAAATTAAACGACCAGTGTAAATAAAATTAATGTCTAGAGATGTTTTTGTTGAAATTAATGCGATTTTCAGGAAAGCGTTTAATGGAACTCCGCACTCGAATAGTTCAGTTTTTAAGAAACAACTCGCATCGCACAAGTAATAACGAAAACAGGAATCGACCGTGACAGGATTCGAACCTGCAATCTTCGGATCCGAAGTCCGACGCCTTATCCGTTAGGCCACACGGTCCCTATGGCAATGTGGTCGAACTACAAATGTTCTTCGCGCGTGTTGTCCAAGTTGGGCAACCTGTTTCAGTAATTGTGAAGAAGCCCCCTCCGAGTGGTGAACGACGCCTTCCACCAAACAGGCCTTCCACCAAACAGAATTGCTCGCGGGTCACTGATCTCCATAGCAACTCTCCAGACCTATTTTTAAGAATTATTTTTTATTATTTGTAAATTTTCATTTAATAATAATTCTTTCAATACTTACTTCAAACCCCAACATTTTAATATGTGAAAGTACCATAAAATGATGTGCAGTATTAATGGACCTCTATTTTTTTAAATAATTTTTTATCTTTAATAATTACCTAATAATTATCTAACGATGTCGGTTATTTGAAAAATCGATTGCTTAGTAATGTTAGTGAACATATCGAACTATTGACGCAACCCCAATGCAGGAGATGGAAGAATGTACATTTTCTCATGTTCACTTAAGCGAATAGAGTTACAAAACTCTAATTAAGTTAACTGATGGATTGGCAACTACCTACGTCATTAGTCCTGTAAATGTAGAGCATGTTTTTTTTTATCGCGGGAGGTGGTGGTGATCTTCTGGTGGAAGGTGACAACCGTCGCCGACCTATCATCGGCTTGCGGTGATTTTCCACAACCTGGTATCTCCTACTAGCAGGCTCCGCCCCACATGGGACAAGCTCTAAGCTCCTGACTGATCTCCTGACAAGTGAGGTAGTGTAATCTTTGCGAGTGAAGTGTGTGTGTGTGTGTGTGTGTGTGTGTGAAAGGTGAGAACAGGAGAGGGAAAAGGAAGGAAAGATCGCATGCATTCCGTGGACCGTTTCTTAGGCTACTGCTCCGGCATTCGAGTGGTATTGATCGAAAACAAACACATAAAATCTACCGACTAGAGTAGCCGTCTGCTAGAATTCTCCTCCAGACAGCGTCGGAATTTGACCTAGCTTTTAAGCCAGAGTCGAAAATCCTGCCACCGTCAGGACTCGAAGTCCAGAACTTCCTGTTTAGAGGCTCTTCTGTGACATCAATTGATGCGCTGAGCCACCTTTATTGGTAATAATAAAGTTAAGCTATATATTTTAGTTATAAAACTTTTCGTTTTATAATGAAAAACTATTTGCTTATTCCTGTATAAATATCCTACTTTATATTACCGAAACAATAAAAATTACAACCTATTAATGTTTATTTCAAAAAAATTACATTCTGATCTTCCATGCATATGGATCAAGGAGCAAAGGAAAAGAATGACAATATATAAACGAAATTCGTTCAGAAACATTTGTACAGTAATTGAGCATTCCTTCACTTTAAGCCGCAACGAAACCAAGATTTCGCAGAATCTGTATGTAGAGACCATCTGGAACCGAATAACAAACATTACGTCATGGCTTTCTTTGTTGTCATTTGGAAATGGATTCCCGCTGAACTTCATAATTTTGACTTGGAATTGAAATAAACATTCCGAATTCAAGCTCTGCTCATCGCCCAAGTTATTTCAATTTCATTTTAATTACAACACACTGACGATTGAATTTGTTCGGTGTCTGCGTATACTGTAGTTGCCAAAGTATTTCCTGACATTTGGTCCTTCCGTGTTGAAAGAAAAACCAACATATGAGTGGGATAGCATCCACTCAGGAAGCAAAAGTCGTCAAGTCAAGATAATTTTGGGAATGAAATTGTTTGCCTCGCTTTCGTATAAATAACGAAACACCATACAAATTAAATGCTACGTGTTGTATTTCTACAGAAAATAATTTCAGGCATCATCTAATATATTGAAGGGAAAAATATGAAAGAATAGTTCATTTATATAGTCTCCTGCAATATTTAATCTCGTCTTATCAAAAAGGTATTCTAAAAAATGAATATATACATTTTTACATCGGAGAGAAATTTTAGTTTTCAAACCTTGTGAACCGAACTCGGTGTATATTTCAAATACGAGCAGCAAAAGGGTTGGTAGGGATTCTGGAGCGCAAGAAGAGTTCGCGGATTATACTTACTCCCCCATATGTTACACTTTTTAAGGACTTCGACAATAAAAAAATTATCAGCAATTATTTCTTAAGAAAAAAGTGAGAAATTTTAACGAGAAATGCAGATGTGTCACATCGCACGCAGCTGGGGTAAGAATTTTCAACAAAATTTTCGCTACTGGTTCACGGGCACGTTTTCTATAAAGAGGTCACTTTATGTTGATGTATATTCGTTCTTGCACTTCGGAATCTTTTCTTTGCGCTTTTCGTGTAGTATAAATTTCGATCGCAACCATATTTCCCTGAGACGTTCCTAAGTATCCACGACTTGTTGAATGGGTCCATAAATTTTGAAACGCTTAAGAGGGGGAGAGAGGTTTGAGGCAGCGTTACAAGGGGTAGAGGGTGTTACATTATTGCTACGTAACCCTTCCCTTAAAAAAATGTCAACATTTCTTCAAATAATTCCTTTTACTCAGTCTTATTAAATTGATTGATGGTGATTCCGAGTGCGTCAACTACTAAGGTCTTTAGTCTCGTTAGTATAGTGCGTGTTTTGCCCGTGAGGTGGCGGAGACATTTCCTGGCTGAATGGCGAGATTCAGTCGGCTGGCGGGGTTTTCCCCAACCAGGTGTTTCCGACTACCGAGGCACCGCCCCAGCCGGAACAAGCTCTAAGATCCCGACCGGTCTCCCGGCGCGTGCTGTAGTGTAGTGCACGTTAGTTTAATTGTGTGTAAGGGGTGAGGATAGGACAAAGAAGAGGTAGGAAAGATCGCGTGCGGTCCGTGACCCGTTCGTTAGGGTACTGCTCCGGCATTCGCCTTATGTTGATCGGAGAAACAACGGAAAACTACCAATCAGAGCAGCCGGCCTCTGGAATTCTCCTCCAGATGGCTGAACTCGACCTAGTTGACAAGCTAGTGTCAAAATCCCTGCCACCGTCAAAACTCGAACCAAGACCCTCCCAAATTATAGGGACTGCATTGACATCAATGGATGCCCTGAGTCATATCAAATGGTACCATATTAAAACATTAAAAAATTAAATTAAAAAAAATATTACAATTGTTTTTTATCAATGGTATATTGATTGAATATGATTGATTACGAAGAGTATTAATAATTGATCTATAATCAATCAATCAATTAAGCATACGTTGGGTTAGCGTTTCTGGGGGAGAGAGGGTATTGAAATCCTCCGAATTAGCGTTACGTAATTTGTGGACGGCCCCTTTAAGCAATCTATAAAGCTGATCTCTCAGTTATTCCAGCCTTGCACTTCACTATTGGCAAACCCAATAACTCATATCATTTTCTTTCGCATTAATCTGCTCCAGATGTGTCTTTGGGTTGCCAGCTACAGCACTAGTCTCCCCTAGACTAATATGCAGTGTTGGTTCCACCTTCACATGGCGACTCCTTTTTTGGGAATCAACGTGACTGAACTAAAATCTATGATCTAAAGCGTTGTTAACATCCTGTGGAAATGTATACAGGTTAATGGGCAAATAAAATTGTTAAGCCCTTGTGCACGTATTGTTGGTACGCAAATAAACGAAAGAATATATACACTGCCGGTCATAAGTTTTTAGACACCCATTAAAGATTATGTTCTGTGTGCGCTGTATTTGGCCTTGATAGGGAAAACCAAACCCATTGCACTGAGGTACTATCTTTGTCTCAATTCCTCTTGTGTAGATAAACATTATTTAGGGATCCTTATATCCCAACTCTAGAGTATTAATTGATGCAAAGTGTCAGGTGGCTGGGAAAGCCACAGTTTGCTCTCGTGTGCTACGGAAGTCGGGCCGAAGTGATACCATGGTTTCTGATTCACAGTGGCTCAGAACTGTAAAATATCGTAAACGATAAATTTTGTAAAATATTTCAATTAAACTATTTGTAATAAACTCATAAATAGATTGCCAAGATTCGTCAAGAAAGTCACTCGGGCAATGGGTGGCTTTTTATGAAAAGACATTTCAACAGATTTACTTTTTAAGTTAAAATATTTTTATTTTATTCCCAACATTTGTTTTTGGCGTAATGTGCGAGTAATACAGTAGTCGATGACCACAGCGTACAAGTGTATCATTACTCTTTCAATCTATTTTATTCACAAATTTTAAATTATTAGTAGCGTCCAAAAACTTTTGCCCTGCAGTGTACGTGCATTCGTATAAAGTATACGCGGAATTCTAGGAAGAACGGGAGGGCGCGGAGGGAGGAAGGGACCCGGACACGATCGCTGCGAGGAAGTCGGAAGGGGCTGCCTCCGAGAATCGCGCAGCGTGACAGGGCCGTTCGGGCGATGTCACGTTAACCGCGATAGTGCGACGTTGCTCAGCTGCGACCTCAGACACACGCCCGGGTTTCCGGAACGCACAGCTGCTCTCGTTATTTGTAATGAGAGAGTTGTCAGAGTGGGGAGGAAAGCGATATATGCGAGTTGCCCCAGTCGCCGGGCAGTCTGCCGTCGGTGCCTTGCGAGGATGCGAGGAAGTTGGCAATTAGTGTTCGTTTGTGCCGCTTGGGCCGTGGCAACCCATGGGGCTCCCGGCGGCGGCAGCGGCGACGGCGGCGGCGACGCCGACGACAGTGCGGGCCCGTGCAGAGTTCTGAAAGGCGTGTGCGATTGTTCATCTCAGGGCGTCGAAGCGCTCGCCTCAACGCCTTGGAGACACCTCGAGGTAACGAAGTTGGATCTGCGCAACAACAGCCTTACGACTGTGCCGGAAGGTCTCAAAGAATCCGTCGTTGAGGTAGATCTTGCGTCTAATCTCCTGACAGCCCTTCCGAAGGCATCTGACCTCAATCCTCATACGAAGGTTCTCGATGTCAGCAGAAATCGCATTTCGGAGGCTACAGATGAACTTCGAACGCTTTCAGAATTAGAGGAACTTCAAGTTCATCGGAATAACCTCACGTCTCTAGTCTTCTTGCCTGAACCATGCGCGCTGCACCGCCTAGACGCTTCTCACAACTCGATATCGAGCTTGGAAGGACCGCTTCAGAATTGCATAAATCTCGAAACTTTAACTCTGAAATATAATCAACTAACTTCACTTAGTGACGATACATTCTCTAAAATGGCAAATCTCAAGTCGCTTGACTTATCCAAAAATCGATTGTCTTCAGTACCTGATGGGTCGTTCAAAGGGCTAACAGAGCTTCGTCATCTTGACTTAAGTAACACCGACCTTACCGATCTCCCGGAAAACATCTTCGATTCCCTTTTGCTTCTCGAAACTCTCGATCTGAGATTCAACGCACTATCGTCTCTACCTGATTCAACATTCGCCACGCTGACCTCGTTGCAGACCCTGCGGATCTCGCACAACATGATCGACAGTTTTCCCGTGAACGTCTTTGAAAAACTGGAGAACCTGGACCGCCTAGACGTATCTCACAACGCGCTCAAGACTCTGCCGCCGAACGCCCTCGCGGGCTGCCCGCGTCTGCGCCACTTGTCAGCGGCCTTTAACGAATTCACGTCACTTCCGGAGAGCGCGTTTTCCGGCCTGTCCCAGCTGACGGAGCTCGACTTGAGCGGCAACAGCCTCGCGGCCCTCCCTGCCGCCGTCTTTTCCGGTCTGGGCGACCTGAGGAAGGTGAACCTGGCGAAGAACCTGCTGGAGTCTCCGCCGGTGGACCAACTGGCGCACGCGGGCGAGCTGGAGGAGCTGGACCTGGGCTTCAACGCCATCTCGCACCTGAGGGCGCGCGAGTTCGAGCCCCTGAGCAACCTCAAGCGGCTGGAGCTGAACGGGAACCACCTGGTGGAGCTGTCGCCGCACGCGCTGGCCGGGCTGGGGCGCCTGCAGCGGCTGGCGCTCGGCCGCGCCAAGCTCTCCGCCGTGCCCCCAGGTAGGTGGAATGGAAATTTGGGACCGAATAATCCCTTCACCTTTTCTCGCCAATCTTACTTTCTCATTATACATGTAAAGTGGGGACCAAATCAATCCATATAAGGGAAAAAACGATTGAACAAGATCGCAATGAAGGGGGCCGCCGTGACCGCGCTATTCAGTTTTTCCTTGTGCCTTATTGAAACTCTTCAGACTCGCTCCTACATCAAAATAAAAAGCAAAGAAATCACTAGAAGTCTCCAAATTTCTTGGTCAACATTATTACATAATTGCAGAAAAATGTAGACTAGAAAAATGGTAAGATAAACAGAATTCATTCAACAAATGAATCATTCAACTGAATGAAAACCAACTTTAACCAAACAAAAGTTCGAAAGGAATATGGCAGGCATAAGTCTGAAAAATGGAGGAGGAAGTTGTGTTTTAAAACGAATGGCTATGAAATTTGTTCTACAAAAATAAAGTGTCACCTTTCACCTTTACCTGGAGGGATACGAGGTAGTCGGTCCTCGATTTACAAATGCCCTTCTCTGGGTCAGTGCTCAATTGGCACATAGATTTTCCTTCTGGTCCCCAATTTACTTGCACCGCTTATTATGTGCAAAGGTGATTGCAGAAAATTTCAAAAGAGCTCTAACTCTAAGACTTACAGTTCAAACAAACTTCTTTCTCAAAAACCAAAGATCCCGCACACCCTTTCAAAGCATTCATACCTTCTCAGAACAATCAAATGCATATTGGTTGTACATTTCGTCTCTTCTAGTTTTGGTTTCCAAAAAATGAATAGTGTAAATTATGCATTTTAATTTAATGTAACGATAATAATACAAAAAGCAGAAAAGTAGCTTATAATAGCTGTATATCTTGGAAAAAAGTTTGTGAGTACGCGTGTATATCTTGTAAATCCTCCCAATCTGGAAAAAAATCTTTAAAGATTTCTAGGACAGCGATATCTAAAATTTGAAGTTGAACGAACTAAGAGAATTGAGTAAAAAAAAGGTATTAGAACGGTCATTGAAGAATTATAACGATCTCTTCATTAAACAAAATTTCGAAGCAACAAACGTTCATTTACCCCAAGCAGAGCTGCGTTGGACACACTTTATGAATCACTTAAATAGAGTGAAAATAACTTACTATTTTGCGTACCGTGGTGAGTGTTCCTTTGAGAATTGTAAGGGGTTCAGTTTAATTGCTACTATTTTATTGTACTATGTTTGGTGAAGCTTTATTTAAACTTTTCGTCCGTATGAAACACTACGATATTAAAGAGATATGTTGAAGGAATTTTTATTATATTACCTTTCATTAAAATTTCAAATTTTGATTAAGAGTTTCGTGATCCATGATACTTTCATTTCATTATTTCTCATTGTAAATATTATGATAGATGTTACTTTATTGTCATGACTTTTTGTCATTGAATCAAATATAGTAGCGTCAGCGAGAAATCAATTCAATCTTTGTTTCATCATTAATTGAGTGTTTCATTAAACAAGTTTACGAATATTAATCAAGTATATTGTCAAGTACATAATCAATAATATTAAGCAAGCATGGGAAAGAAAGAGTTAAAAAGATTTCCGAAGTACGAGACTTTAACTAATCTTTAACTTGAAAATAAAACTTTGAAGAAAACTATCATATGATTTAATAGTAATGTTCGAGTTTCTTGATTTCTGCGACTCTTGATTTTGTACATTTTTTATCAAATGATCTTTAATCTTACCATTAAAACAAATCGTAGTCAGACTAAACTGTTTCATTTATCGCATTTTCGAACGACCTCATATACGAGTGTGCTTTTGCGGTGCGCTCGTAGTAAAATATATGAGTAGATTAACGGAAATACCCTCGGTGGTTCTTTGAACATATGAGGCTATTGAACTGTTTACACGATGAAATGATAACCAAGAACGAGAATTCTCCAGAAGATATCCTTGACCTTTCCATACAACTTCACTGTAGTAATGATTAGAGCCCCCAAGTAGGAAGTTATTATCTTCTGCGGGGAAGCGTACTCACTGCCAGACCTCTTGCTTCTCTGCTTGTGGTTCAAGGATTTTGAATGACGCATGTATTCTACCGACAGTTTTATCTGACCGCAAAGATGTAAACACACACTTAATTGACTTGGAGAAGTAGGTTGCAACATCAATAACTTAACGAAATTCATAGTTTGAAAAAGTGATTTTAAAGGTTTTCTGTAAATATAGATTAGAAATCATTATCGAGTTTAATAAAAATGGTTTATCTGTTGCAAATATACGCAAAGCACCACAGATAACATTTAATGGAATTTCTTTTTTTTTCTATTAATATGTACAAACAACTTTAATGCCTTGCTTTTAGTTTCGGCTGGATCCTCGAACCCCACAATTGAAGACATTTGTTCGTTTCACAAGCGTATTGATAATTAAATTGCTATGTTCATAATTCCAATTCATTCTTTTGGCGACGTTAACCTTGGCAATAACTTACGAATATTGTTTTAAATTAAAATACAATTTTACAAATATAAGCTCCCCTTCTTTTTCAAAAAATAGGCAAATAATAAATATATGTGTATATTTTCATTCAAAGTGCAAGGAATCAACGAAAAAATAACATACAAAGAACCTTACCGAAGTTTTCCGAAATATTCATACAAAAAACCCGAGTGGGCTTACACGGGAAAGGAGACTATATACGAGAACTTACGGTAATAAAATTGCATTACTAAAAACACGCGAAATCTTTTATGTAAGAAAATTCGAATTCAATAAGAAGGGCAAATCAATATTTAAAACACTAATTTTTCCTAACTTGTAAATTACATCAACAATGCGATCTCTTTTGATGGTATAATGATGACTTGATGACACACCAATTTAAGAACTTACTACTCATTATTTCTAATTTTTTCTGTTACATTCTTTTGGAATTTCTTACAACCTATTTTTTTGAATTTCGAATGGACAAGGGAGTCGTTATGGATGCGACTGTACAGTATTTATTCGTGTGTTTACATCGAAGGTGAAGAGAAGAGCATGTTTAAGTGCGCGGTGCTCGTAACGCAGGCCTCTTTTCGTCGCTGGACAACCTGGAGTGGCTGTTCCTGGACCACAACGACCTGACGGAGCTGACGGACGAGCACCTGGAGGGGTTGGTGCGCCTGCACACGCTCGACGTCACCTTCAACCGGCTGACGCGGCTGCCGTCGGGCGAGGCGTTCGCCGAGCTGCGCGACCTGGCGTTTCTGCGCGCGACGGGCAACCGGCTGGCGGCGCTGCCCGAGCTGCCGACCGGCTGCTGCGCGGCGCTGCGCGACGCCTCCTTCTGGTTCAACCGGCTGAGCGCGCCGGCGGCGGCGGCGCTGCGCTCGTGGCTGGGCGACGGCGCCGCGCTGCGCTACGTCGACCTGCGCGCCAACCCGCTGCGCGCCGCCGCGCTCCGCTGGGCGCTGCGCGAGGACGGCGCGTGGCCGCTGGCCGAGTCGCGCAGCGGCGACCGCGCCTGCGGCAGCGTGCTGCGCGGCAGGGCGCGCATGCGCTTCTGCGTCGACGCCCCCGAGCGCGCCGGCGGCGGGCCCGCCGACTTCCGCGACTGGATGGAGGCGGCCCGCGCCGACGCCGCCTGAACGCCGTCCTTTGCTTTCCCAACGCTGGCGGACAATGGCGAGGGAGCGTATGCTTGAAGTCCGAATAACATTTGCGTCTACTTAACAGACGTGGGGTGGCAATGTTGCCACTTACTCTGGCGGCTGACACGTGGTTGTGTGCATCAGATCACAACAGTAGCAAGAAACAAATCGCAATAAGATCACACAATAGTAGACGACTCAGAACCGCACACGCGATGCATAACCAAAGAAGCAATGACGCTCTTCTCATTATAGTGGTTTTGCGCTGTAAGAGTTAAGTTTTTTCTTAATACGTTTCGCCAACTTTGCAGTGACGTCAACAGGATTTGAAGCCTTTCATTGGATATCGGAACCTCCTCTTCCCAGTCATCCGCTAGCTCTCAAGTAGACAGAAATGTTATTCGAACAAAACGTGAGGCACTTTCTGAAAATGCACATGACGAAGGTCGTGTTCAGTACATGGCATTGATCTTACGTTCAAGTGTTCTCCAAGAAGTATTCAGCCAAGTTGTCTTCCAATAATTAAGCAAGAAAGGCAGTTGTTTGTACCTCGTTTAATTCTCTTATATTTTGTATCTAGCTCATGCCGAACGTCATCGTAACCGACTGAAATGCCACCACGATGTAACTTCACATTACACAGCTATTCTCTAATATTGACCTTCACATAAAGGACACATTTATTATGGAATGTCAATAGTTTCAAGCACCTTAGTATGCTTCAAAGAAGCAAGAGAAATTCGTATAAATATATTTCTACGTTTCTATTGATGTTCATTATTTGTTTACAATAAATCTTGTGACATAAACATTTTTCTTGTATTCTCATTCCTTTCTCATTATTTCTCTTATACGTAATGCATACTATGCCTATCGGGATAATATAATTAATCTAGAGAAACGCATGCAATGCTCGGGAAAATTCGATTCCTAAGATATCAAGGAAATGTCGCTTTTTGGCCGCCCTGATATCGAAAAATGTTTTCTTTTCAAATACGTTCGTTCCTTCGATCCGGTCTTCGGTTTGCGAACAACACTACGCGCTAAACTATTGATAGACTTTTTTTCGCCCTTTCACGATAGTAATGTAACGGTGATAGCCATATCATTACTAACTTTGTTAAAACAAGTGCTTCAAATGATTTCTCATGAAAGTTTCTCGAAAACTCAAAAGGTTTCTGCGAAAATGTGCTCACAATTCTGCATTTTTAGAAACGCTTCAGAAATGCAATTGACTCACAAATGGCTCCACGTTATTTCTTCAAACTTTCTATACATCTACCACTTGTTCAAAATTACGCAAATGTGTTTTTTTAGGAAACTAACTAGTACGAGAAAGTCTGCCATTCTGTTGCTCTACTAGTTAGTTTTTTATTCCTCCATTCTGTTTATCAGTTATCAAGTTTACAATTAGTTTATTACTGTATATCGGTAGGATGTAGGTGCAATAAGTAAACCGAAGTAACCATGATCGATGGATTTCTTTGCAAATGAGTTCCACATTATGCACTCGCAGCGAACATTTCCGTGCCTCCTACAAGAGGCAAAACAGAAAAACTTGTAACTTCGTAGCACTGCGACCTTCACAAACTGCTCTTAACTTATAAATTTAAATAAACTGTTATGTTGCTGTTTTAGACGAACAGAAAATGAAGAAAAAATAATCTAATTAAAATGTACAATCATGATAGAATTAAGAAATAATAGCACTGAAATAAGACTAATCTTCATTACTTAAAAGACTATCCCTTCAAATTTATATATATATACTATATATATATATATTATATATATAGTATATATATAATTGTTCAAATAGAAAAAGTGTAAGGTTCAATACATAATTCGATGTAAATGAAGCCACCTTACGGAACACATTTATTTCCAGAAAAGATAAAATAAGCACTCCACGATTATACGGCGCGCACGTGTATCGGGAGACTTCACACCTCGCAGGGACTTCAGTTGTGGCTGATGCGTAATTTTACAGGCGCAGCAATCTGCGAGCGCGTTCTAGTCACAACGAGATGGCGTCAGTTTCTGACTTTTGTTATGATCTGATCGCGACATTACTGCCTACTAATAAATATCATATTACTGAAGCGTATATTTTCATGAAGAGTGACTAATGTTCCATGGTAAGTTATCAGCACAAGTATTTGAAAACACGAGACAAAAGGCGTCTTCGCTATAAAATTATAGTAATTTATCTTACATTCGGCTAAAAGAGACCATTATGCAGGGTAGTCAATTATTGCGTGAACGAGTAACTAAATTAGATACTAATGAGCACATCATGATGTTTTAAGCATAAGTAATATATGTTTTATCTTAACCGACAGCCTTTTTAACAATTTGACATGTTTTCTAATTGTATGCGAAAATGATTAATTCTGTTAAATTGATTTCAGTAGTATTACTGGTTACATAGAATATAATAGTGAGCAAGTGAATCTACAATTAACATAAACATAAATTGCATTTAAAGGCAATCGGATTTGATAAAATTATTTTATTTAAAATAATAAAGGATATATTAACATCATCTATAATTTACAACTTATAAGGAAAGAATCACATAATCTTTCGTGAACCATAAAACAAACTAAAATTCGTTAAGTCTCATAATTGTTTGTTGTAAGTTGTCACCTTTGCACAGTCCTGTAATTGGTGCTATAGATTAATTTAAAAAAATATTGGGAGGGAAATTATTTGTTTACTTGGGCGAAGACGATTTATATAGTCTTATTTCCTTTCACGCAAGAGTCAACTCTTCTAATGCAGACAGAGAGCTACGACAAACCCGAAGAACATCTATACTTACATTAGCTACATTTTTCTCAATTGAGGAAAAATCGTCTTGAGAAACTGGCTAATGAGCATATGCTGACTCTTCATTTATTTATTTAGCGCGCTTGTAGCACTTCTGAAGCACTTAATCGTTAGTGCTTGGGCAGAAAGGAGTGAAAAAGCAACTACAATATTACCGGTGTCTTCCTTCAAATGAGGAAAAAAATTGTATTGAAAAAATTTATTTTGTACATTTTTAAAACTCTCACAAACAATTACTCGTGTTAGCAAATCTCAATAGTGTAAATGCTGCAATTCGTTTATGTGAATTCAAAGTAGTAAAGTAATGTATTGTCTTGGAAGAAATCAAATATATAAAGAAAGAATGACATAAGGAATAATTGCTAATTCACAAAATACTTCTACGAGTGAACGCAATATCGGTTAGTCAAAACAAAATTAATTTCACACCTAATTTGTCACTTATTTTGAATATCCAATCGACGTAGGGAATGAATAAAATTCAATGCGTTTGATAGGACTACCAGGAGTATGTTGTCCGTGAAATTCATGTTTGTCTTAAGTTTGGTCCCATACGAGAGTCATATCAGTTGCATAAAGCAAGCCCCCCCCCCTCCTGCATCTGACAAAGCAGTCGAAACTCGCGCCGTTGTCAATGCCACCTGTGAGTGCCACTTGCGACGTCGTCCCAAAACGTTGCCAAAAGGAATACTGCGAATATACTTTTAACCTGAACTCTCATGTTAACAAAAATATTTACCGTCTGCCAAAAATTATTTTTGTGTAGTCACTTCTTGAAATTGCATTTTACAAACGGAATATCCTCCTTTAATCTGGACTTGCATAGCCTAGGACAGTAAAGGCTTTTAGCGGCAACGTCGCGGCTGTGCAGACTCCAGCAGCAACTTCAGAGAAATAAACTCCATTTGAAAGGAAGCATTTAATTGTTTTCCAGCTCTTGTGCCGAAAGCACAAGAGATTATTTCAGTGAAGTTTATTTCGAAGATGTTTTTTTGTTATTAAATTCTGTTACGTTTTCTTTTATAAATTCTTGCCCTTTGATAAACTGCTAAGTTTTGAAGATGCATAGAATTGAAATGCCGTAAGTCAACTGTCAGGTGGTCATCTAAAGAAAAAATATCTGTTACCCTTGTACTAATAATGAAACTTATCTCTACATGATTCAAATAAACATTTGAACTTTTTAAAAAAAATTATGACTATAAATAGATGACAATGCACCAAAAATTGAATGTACCTAGGCAGAAAAGTAATGTTCTTCGAACTTTTATCACCTTCGACTCGCCTCCAGATGTAAACTGCTCTTTCCAAAAACCGAGTATTTTTAAGCCTCGCATACTACATAAATAACTATTATATTATATAACTGTGCCTGTCATTTGAGTTATGATAAATTAAACTTTTACTGTTATAACAATACACTCGATAAACATAATGAACGAATACGTCTTTCTCGACTAACTTTAAATTCAGAAGTAGGAATATTATTACTGTTTAAGAAAAACTCATTCGGCACTTGCCTACATTAATTTCTAGAGAACACCACTTCCTTAAAACGTTTTATTCGTTTGAATTCGCTTAACTTTCTACCTATCCGTTATAGTGTTGTTCGTGGTACTACAAACGAGTACACCAGACTGATTATACCACGTATGATGATGATCGATGGCACATGAAATGGTAAACTTCAATCATCCTACGCCACTTTCAACTGATATTATATTCTTAATACTCAATATATTGTACCAAGTAAACTTCAGTATCTATGCACGTTTTCTAAAGTTCAGCGGGGAATATTTTTATTCAATTTTTTCCATGACCTCGCGGCTGTGAGTCGATTTCTTCACGAAGGACACGATAAAGGATAATAGCCAAAATTCGTAGCTGATTTGCCTTTGCAAATATGTTTTATTACACGGAATCGAATATTTTCTTATAAATTCTTCCCCCAAAAAAGAACACCCTTTCCACATTTGTTCATTATTCAACTTGTATATGAAGGGTAGAGTGGTAGAGGTCTCAGAATTTAGAAAAAGTGCACAGAACACATTTCTCCCCCTAGACTCTCACATCCAATAGTATATTATGAAACGATGATGTAGTAATGGATATTAATACACGAGTGTGGTATTACGATGAGAGTTCATTAATATGCATTACGACTTACGGTAACTTTTTATAAGTTAAACTTTTATATTGAATAGTTTCGGTTCCGCAAATGGCCTTGGTTAATAGTTCGCCTGGGACAGACTACTGCGCGTATCAAATTGGATTAAGTTGAAAATAGGATTGGTTTTTTCTTCATATAATACTCCCCGTAAAAAATATTAAGAACAAAATAAAATAAAATTGATAAGTATAATATAATACTAAATGCAATTTTATTGTACAAAATCGAAGGAAACATTTACAACAACTATTCTCAATGATGAGTGTTAATACTTGGTTTATAAACTTCCCGGTGATTGGTGAAGAATCTGTATGGAAGTACCATTAAGCAACTGGTTGCAGCCATCACATACCAGAATTATACAATAGAGGACAAATGAATGGGGGGGGGGGTACTCACCGGAGTGCTCGTCCACGTGGAAGAAGGGCGCCAGCGGCTGGCTCTCCGACACGAGGCCGTAGCGCACGGCCCTGGGCGCCCCGCGGTCGCCGTCGCGCGCCTCCACGCGCAGCACCACGTCGCCCTGCGCACACACGCACGCACGCGCACGCTCAGCAGAGCTGCTCCCGCGCAACACGGGGCGAGCCAAGCATTCCACAAACGCCCAGAAATGAACCACGTTTCGCGGAATTAAAACGTATATGCCGATCAAGTATATTGCGATTTTACATTGTTATAGAGACATGATTTATAAAAATTATTAAATGAGTTTATATAAAAAAAATCCAAAGCGCAGCGCTGTTTTTGCATTGCAAAATTCAACTGTTGAAGTTACATAAAATATGTAATAACTATTTATTGAGAAATATGAAAATATTTGAAAAAAATATATATGGTATTTTCCCCTTCTTATACATTTTTGGTGCAAGGTGCACGGGAAGGAATAAACAAAAAACTAAATCTACAGTAGGAATAAGGGCATTACTATGGGGCAGTAATAAGTAAAATGCAATTTAATTTCATACTCGCAGAAATCTTGAACAAGATAGCTTAAATCAAGTGTCACTAAGTAACATTTAAAACTACTGGGGAGAAATTATAAACATCAATGAATTACATAAATCAAAATCATTCATAAATCCACAAATATGGTAATCAATATAAAACAAACGAGAAACGATTCTTGTTAGTAATGGGAGTCCTGGAGTGATGCAGCCTCTTTAAATATCCTTCTGCAAATCTCTCACGAAGGACTAGAGCTCCAGGTAACCGATGTTTTCAAACAGCTTCAATTTTTTTTTATTTGATGCAAATGAATCTGAATTGATCCGAAACGCCTTTATCAACACACGAATTCCGTCGCTTAGTGCGGCTGTACACTTCGTTCTGAATAAAAATCTCCGCGACCGTGACAGGACTCGAACCTGCAATCTTCGGATCCGAAGTCCGACGCCTTATCCATTAGGCCACACGGTCATATTTCTTGTAGTTTCGTGATTGTAACCCCATGATTATTACATAAAAGTATAGTTTTGGAAATAATTCATTTCACAAAAAATAATTGATACAAACATAACGATTAGCAATAATTTGCAAGACGTTACGATGGTGTCATGTCAATTAATGCAAATTCTCTCTTTTCCTGCCCATTTAGTTTCCTCCAGGACGTATTTTGACCATTTTGAAAAAACAAATTATTGCGTTGTGACAAAGCGTGTAACAATTACTTTGTTGATCGTGTAATTAAATAATTTAAAAACGTATGTCACCCATAAATATAATACACAGTACATTCTTCATTATTTCGCGCTATTATTGCGTTGTTCTCTCGTTCAAATCACGTCCTGGTCTCAGTCCAAGCCAGTCCTAGACCAATACCCCCCTCCCCTCGCTTCCAATTAATGACCGGTTCCCGGGAGTTAAGCGTCATCTACCACGTGGTCAGAAGGTCACCGCGTCCTCCATTGATATGGAAATGCGTCGTCGGTTTTGCAGCCGTGACCGAAGCCCTGCCTACGATGCATTCATCACAATTCATTCAAGCAATTTTTTACTGCTTCTTGTTTCAGCTTCAAATGCTTCAAGTAGAGTATTGGTTAAATGCATGTTATTCTCTATTAACGCAATTTGGCAGACGTGATGGAATTTCATTTCGTGAGAATGTGAACGTTACTACGTGAAAGCAATAATTCCTAAGCACGTTCATGTATTTTTATTGTTGTTTTTTTGACAATGACATTTTAATTACTTTACACAAGGCTAAAGTGTTTGTGAATTACACATACCATTCCATTTTTTTGAGCAATACTAATAGTTTCGTACAGTATTAGAGGAAGAATTATTGTTATTGAAATGTAGGAATGTATTTCCGGACGCTATTTCTGATCCGAGGACATCACCGTTGATTCGCTTATTCCAGGTGTTGTCACTTTGCACGTCTCTTCCAGCCGGCTATCAAATTACTTTCCATGAAATGAAATTTAACGCAATCCAAATACGTTATCAGCGTAATATCCCTTCAACAACCTACTCAAGGTTAGTACAAGTAATATCTAACAAAGAAGTACGATTAGGTTGCTCTGTCACTTCTGAGCAACCATCCTACACTAGTAAGTACCAAACAGAGAGAATCGAAAAATCATAAGAAAATGCAATTCGTTACTAAATAGTTTTATACTTCAAATTGAAAAATAATTGCCAAGTTTGTGACCGTGATATTTAACAGTCGGTACCGTGTCGATTGAATTCATTATACAATGACAGGTAAGTTCGATCTCAGACAAGATTAATTTTCCTATTCATTCTCTGTACCAGATTTTAACGGTCAATAGTATGGACTCAATACTTTAAGAGACTAAATACGAACAAGGAAATATTAAGAAAAAAAAATGACCCGAAACATGAAACCGAATTGGGTAAAGTCCATAATACTTCGCTCTCTGTAGGCTTTATGCAAAACATTTCTTATCAACATTTTGAAGAAATGAAGTTCAGGGAGAGAGAGAATTCGCATTATAAACACTGATAGTTGAACTGAATGCTATTTAGTAATTCCATAGTTCAATAATCACTTTCAGATGATGAAAAAAAAAGTACCTTTATGCCAGTTAACTTTTCTTATTGAGGAAGTATTGGGGTCATTAATAAATGTACGAAAACCATGTAAACCATTAATATTATATGCTACTTATTTTATTGTATTATTAATATTATTATACGTAGTTGGTTGGGCGTCAGCTTTCCGCACTTTGTTAATCAATGTTTTAAAATTGGAAATAGTAGTTCCATGCTAAAACACAACTTTTAGCGGCCACATCCTGAAGTGTGTGTTATATCATAGTCATCTAATATTGCTAAGCGTTTGTTAATATCAGAAAGACACATGCTTTTTAATGACATGACATGACATGACATAGAATATCAAACAGTCATTTTAATTTGTCAGAGACTTCGATATTCTGCCCTTCTGATCACCCATATTACCGACTGGGAGCACCAATAAAAACTATACCTTCAAACATGTAAAAGAAGGTCCAAGAAGGAATCACTTTACAGAATACGCGTACTATACAAAACGGCAGACAGAAAAAAAAATCGAAAAATCATTTCCTTCGAAATTCTAAGAAAGAAGCAAAACTGCGTCTCTTGAGAGTGTACCAATATCCAACAGAAGAATGTGTCTCATTAATGGAGCCTAAAGGATTACCAGAAAAAATAGGTATTCCTTCTACTCAAAATGATAATCAAAGCTGATAGACCCGTTTTCTTTGAATCATACCGGATGGTCCGCACTAAATAGACGAAACCCAAGAAAAATAACATAGGAATTCGCCATTTTTAGTGAAGTGAAGAAACTAGTCAATTTTTACTAGTAAACACTTTAAATAGATTGTTCTTACGACAGCCATTAAAGTATACTAGAGTAAAACTTTCTGTGGTCGCGAACTAAAAGATGTCTTTTGATATAAATCGGGCGTTCTCCTAAAAGCAAGATCTTTTTCGTTGTGTCCCCCATAGCGGCTGGTCCTTAAGGGCTCTAAGGCGGCGCCCTCCCCTCGGGCAAACTTGCAGAAAAAATTAAACTTGCAATAAATAGACATTTAATTTGTGCATACTACCAGTGCAATTGTGAGGACGAATTTAGTATTAGGTGTCCGCTTAAGCAAAAGGTAAATGTTTTTTTAATGAACTATCGCGAATCCGTCCGTAGCTGTAAGGTAATGGAAGCTTCACGAAGAGTGGGGGTACAGGAAATTGGGTGGGGGTACTGGAATTTAGATGGCAGAGTGCTGCTATTGAGCCGACCCTTACCACATGATTTCATAAAATACTGTTTCCTTTGCTGAAAATTTATTTATGTATTTTTATTTCTTACTTTCGCGTGTGCATAATTCCATTATCAACGTAAAAGTTGTCTTAGACAAGGATTAAAATACCAATGCCTGCAAATCGGTTGTACACTTCTTGCTGTTATAGTTTCCCTCGTTCAAAAAATATTTTGAAGGGGTACAATGCACACATGTTCGGTCATATATGCCGCCCCTCTTAATTTGCAACCCACCGGCAGCCCCTGTACGTCACTTCCTTGTGCAATGTCGAGCTGTAAAGCTGGAAATGATTCAGCGAGCCTCAAACTCTGAATAATAATAATAGCAGAACCTCAATTACCGTACCCTATCACAGTGTTCATTGCAATGAGATCATAATTTGCACTTAACGCACAGTGCGCCATGGAATAATCCGGAGTAAGGGTCGAAAGCGGGCGTTGGGATCGAGGCGGGGTGGGGCGGGGCGGGGCAGAGCGAAGGCAGGGGAGGGGCTATAGGCAGAATCCGCGCGGGAGCGTGGCATGGGGGAGGGCGGGAGTGTACGGGTGGAAGGGTGGTCGGCGGGGGGGGGGGAGCATTGACGTGGTGTGCACCGGGCGCGAGATGGGGGCGGGAGCAGGAGCTGGAGAGGAGAAGATCGGAATGGGAGCGGAAATGGCAGCGGGAGTGCAGGGGAGGACGGGAGTGGGAGTGGGAGTGGGTTAGCGGGTGCGGGCGCAGAGAGGAGGGGCAGAGAGCGCACGGGAGAGTGGGAGTAGGAGCGGAAGCAGCCGTAGAATAGAAGAGTGGGCGCGGGAGCGCAGTGAGGGAGCGGGAGCGGGAGTGGTGAGGTGGAGCTTACCTGGCGGTGCGAGGCGCTGAGGCGCGTGACGGGCGGGGCGCGCGTGAAGACGGGCGGCTCGTCCTGCTCGTCGCGCACCGCCACCGCCATCTCGAAGCTCAGCAGGTTGCGCGTGTCGTTGCCCGGCTCCGCGTACGCGTCCTGCGCAAAGCGACTGTCACCTTGCATGCAACACGTCTAGGCTGCGAGGGAAAACGAGTGTCAGTCAAAAACGACATTATATTGATTTTCTTGGAACAAACAATAGGAATATTTTTCTGCCCTTTATTAACAAAGCGAAGAAGAACTCATAATTATTCGGAAGAACTGCATGTTGAAAGCACGAAATAATCGAACTCGCTTCCAAGAATCACACGGTGGACGTAACTCATTTTGACCATTTTCTCACTTACACCCCTTTTTCCAGGCAGCCTAGAATTATTTTCAGAGGAATTAGGTAAATGGCAAGATACATAGTATTCGTCAGCTACATTTTAGCAATTTTTTTCTTTCATATGAGCTAAGTATTTGCACTGTAGTTTATAGACACCTGTATTAACATTAATTAACCATTATTATGATCAAATGCCGTACCGTTCTTATTTCAGGCGTGACCTCATTCACTCCATTACCTTGCACGTAGTTTTCAACTGCATGATTTGAATGTCGCTGGCATAACGTAATAGATGGGCAATCTTTGACCAACTGTGACGTGATTTGTTGCTGGAAATAAGTTTGTCCGGACTACAGCCGCGAGCGGTAGCAGCAAACCCTCTTGCCGATCGCCGGCTCGACCTATCGCGCTAACCTTTGCAGGAGTTGTCTCCGCAACAAATCCCTGATACTCTTCTTTAGAACAGCTTTGTGTCTTTGTATTCAAGAGGAAGATTCACGAAAAGCTTACTGCTTCCATTAGACATTTACCGGGATTTTAGGCTTCAGTTTCTCTTAGGACTTTGTGAAAGAATAAATCAAATTCGTCGGAATAGCCTGTGCGATAATATTAATGAACCTACTCATCCTAATATATTTCAAGAATTGTGAAAACAATCTATTTTCAAGAACGTTCTAAGGCAAAACTAACAAGGAAAAAAGTTTGTTATTTTGTTTGTTTTTGATACGCTTATGATTCATACTACCAGCTATCGAATAACATTTCTTCTCTTTGCATTCCATGAAAGAAGATAAGAAGCAGTAAGTATAAAATGTCACCCACAGCCTAGACTAAGGAGGTATCATTTCTCTATACATGTCATTACTCTATGCCCCCAGTATTTCCGTTGATTTACTTTCTACTCATACATACTAGAACAGCCTCATGAAATCCCTACCGAGGCCATTGGCTCTTCGATGGCAGAGTCCCAGAGGCGTATTCCGCGTAATGTACGCCGAAGTGGGTCACTCGCTGTTTGATTTACATATCTCCCCTGAGATCCGGGTCACATGCGGTCGGCATTTCCGTTAACGCTCACGCGACGCCAGGGTGTCGTACGCAGCGACAGACCGCGATCGGGGTGAACGGACGAACAATTATTCTACAACACAAAGCAATGGCGGATGCTTTACGTAAAAATAGTTCAGAATACTAAATATTGAACGGCTGGTGCGTTAATAAGTAATTATACGATCTGAGCTATATCTAATGAAGTGACACACGTTCACATGTTATGTCCATTAAGCGAGAAGGCATTTTCAAATCGATAGACCATTTTAAATAACATAGTCTAACCTTTCTAAACCGAGTACCTCGACTCATTGAGGTACATGATGGTGATGCCGAAAGAAAAAAAACTAAAAAATGAAACCATTTTTTAAAAGTTCTAAAGGAAAGAAATGAATTCAATAATGTAATTTCAGTAAACGTCTAGATAACTATTTTTTGAAGAAGAGTTGCGGAGCAATATTGTTTTTCATAGTAATTTGAAACGTTGAATAATACTTAATTGGGAAAGACCTTTCGTACTTCAATTCTTAATCCTAAATTGAGAAGAATGTTGTACCTAACGAAAGTTGAAATAACAATGATCAGTCAAAAAATGTCCACCAAACATCAACAGTTTCATGATTCTTAGATATCAAGATATGATGTTTAGCCTTGAACTCTTCACTCAGATGCAGGTTGACCCACAAAGCAAAGCTGACCCTTGCGTGTGACCTACAAAAGACTTAAGAAACTGTGAAGGCCTCCTGATTACCTGTACTTCAGAATAGGACGGTTTTTCGGGAATGGTGTCTCTCAAATTTTTGAATTGCTAAAGTTTTTCATGCAGATGGATGGTAACTTTCATTTTTCGGCAGATAGTATTAAGTTATGTTGTATAATGCAATTAAAAACTTCAAATGCCATATTCTCCACAACCGTGCAGGTGAACGTCCGAAATATAGTTTCAACTAAGAACATAATAAAAAATATTTTTCATAAACGATGTAAGAAAAAAACAGAACTTAAATTAGGCGTATCCCCTCTTATAATGAACTGACTTACCGTTGCATAGACAGTGAGGTAATGAACCACTTGTTGCTCGAAGTCGAGCTGCCCCACCAAAACGATGGTGTTATTGACTGTATCTGGAGAGCTCAGAGCGCGCTTCAAGTCGAAAAGCGGCGAGCCCTGAGCAGAGAAAGTGAAATTAAAGAGACAATCATAAACACGGAAATGCTTATGAGAGATGGAGGTGAAAAACTTGGTAACCCATAACTCTATTATAAAAGGGGGAAAAGCTATTTTCTCACGATCGAAAAATGACGTTCGACTGTGCTTCCGTAACTGATTGACAGTTTTAAAAGCTAGAAACCCACCTAATTCTTATCACTTTTGCAATAAAATTCATCAAAACCCCATTCTTTACTAAAATATGGATAACCAAATTCCCCCCGCCACATTTGTAGTAAAACAAAAGAAATTACTTACGCGTAGTTCCAAGAACGCAAACCGGTTGTTTTTCGGGTTGTTCCTCACGACGATGTAATCGAGAGCGGATCCACGGTTGGTAAACTGTAATCAAAAAATCAAAAGAATTCCTTTCAACTGGAAAAAGAAAAACAGCTGTAGACTTTTCAGAGTTGATGCAAAGAAATGATGTGTGTAAGTCAAACAAATATGTCACGAACATGTACGTAATAAAATGAGATTAATATAACCAACGACGGGAAATATCTATATAATCAACGCTTTAAGAACACGTCAGTATCTGTTTAAGAAAAGAACGTGGGAAACATACGTAACACACTTTTAAAATATCTTACAACATGATTTCAGCTTCAAAGTTAAATTTGCTAATAAATAACTAATATTGCAGCCATCTAATAAAAGCTATTTAGAAACCAAAATTTGAAAATATAAACTCCTCATATTATTTTATTCTGAATATTAGTTGGTGAATGTTTATCTTCTTTCGAATATAACATGTTATTACATTTCAATAACGCGAGAAAACAATTGAAATGCCAAAAGTGATTTTGTTGGTTTGTAGAAATGGCTATTCGGTAGTGTTCGATATTATCGCAGCTATATTATAATCAAACAGTAATTTAAATAAACAAAATCATGTGAGGAATAATTAAGATATATTTAAGTAAACATATGCTTATTCAGTTCTGAAAAAATATTTTCCTACAAACTTTAAAGATATCCTAATTAAATAATCAATTGATTATAAAAATTATAAAACCCTATAGATGCGGGATGAAACGTGACTTTAGGATCGTAGTCTGCTCTGACATACGATCGTCCCCTTAACGTCCAAAACGATCCCTAATAGGCCTGGAGTCAGTAAGCTAAAACTTTTTGACGAGTTAGCTAGAGTTATGAGGAACAGGGAAACGCAAGCAGGTGACTTTTAGGTTTCGACGTTTTGCTGCAAATAGTTTTTGAATGCGCCAAAAAAGCTATGCCAATTTAGGAATGAGTATATATCTAATTCTGGCTGTATATTGTTTGTTAGATAGCCAAAGTGAGGAGTTGTATGCCATACCGATATGGCGTCTCAAACTGATCGCCATACTGAATTCCAAATGTCATTATTTTAATGCCTTCTTGTAACACGAGCTCAGAGCTAAGTTTTTGGTCCAATAGCAGAAAATTATTTTTAATTGCCGATTATGACAACGCTATACCGTTTTGGAGGCTCTAAGTAGCCGCCTCACTGATTCAAAGATGCCCAATTTGTCACTACAGCCCGCCTCTGTTGCGTTTCCCTGTTCCTCACAACAGTGGCAAACTCGTCAAAAAGTTTTATGCTAATCACACGTGGTTTTGTTGCGAGCGTACCTCGGAGACGGTGATGAGCGTGGGTCGGTGCGGGAAGATGGTGTCCATGGGCGTGGTGGCGTTGGTGGCTCGCAGCGTGCAGTTGACGGTGGTGGAGTCGCCGCTGGTGTCGCGCACCGTCACCTTCACCTCGTAGTCGCGTCCGAGCCGCAGCGGCGACGCCAGCACCACGTTGGCCTCGCAGTGCGTGGCGTTGCGCGGGCAGGGCAGCGCCTCGATGCGGATCACGTGGCTGTCCGGGCCGCCTGCGCCACCACAGCTCAGAAACACAGCGTTTGGGAACCAACAGATAATGCGGCTAATTCTTACTTTACGATACGGCTCTCGTTCACTCTATGTGGAATCGAATCCAAATAACCGTTCAAAGCTTGTAGAAACATTTCTGCAGAACGTGTTTGCCGCTGCGCAGTTTTCAATACTGGAGGCCAGTGGATTCACAATGGAGGTTTTGAACGGGTGTTTATTTGTTGATATGCGAAAAGATGAGGTTGTTAATGTGATCAAGTGAGAAATTTTCTTCAACTGATCAAACAAGTTTACCCAATAACATAATAAGGGGAGTTTTCAATTTTATTAAGTTTAGAGAGAGAACTTAACAATTAACCGTGCTTTCTCATAACAGTGAATTAGTAATTAGGCGGTTGATAGACTCAATGTTGTTTGTAAAGAACGCGAGGGTCGCAGGCCCAAGACTCACTGTGACTTGGACCCGGGCTGGAGACGCCAGAAAATGTGTCTTTGAAAATAATTTGGCGTTACAATGAGGCGACAACAAAGCGCATGAGAAGGCATTGCATTGCCTCAGAATGAATCGAAATCGGTAAGACCGAGTATTCTCGGTATCACTAGTTATTTTTCGTGAACCGTTACCTAAACTTAGAATTAACTAAATATGCATAAGAAGGGGCCTAAAATAAAACTGACAAGCCTGTCTTCTGCCGGATCAATTGCAAGTTAAGTGAGTTGATTTCGTGCATGTGGGGGCGCACAATACGATTTCCTTGAAATTGTTATTTTGTTAGTTATGTCACTGTTCTTGCCGAGATGCAATAAGACTAATCCGATATTGAATATTTAAGCCTCTATACTCATTACTTCATTGGATATATTCTTTTTTGTTCTCTCATTGCGCTCTTAATTAACGGCACTGGCGTTTCAATAAAAAATATTTTCAAAACAATTAATTATTTAGCTCGTATTTAAATATTGATAAAGGTTTTCCAAGATCTGAACTTACTAGGCAATCACTGAACGTATTGTGGTGGGAGTTGTGACATTTTCGATCGAGAGATCGCTTCTTTTCAACTTTAAGACAACTTCGTAAAGAAAACTGAGGCTATCCAACAGGACAATCATCTCACTCAAAACACATAAGTTGTTCGTGACACGTTTCAGTGACGAAATCATTAGAATGTTTGTAAGGAGACGAAAACATCTCATCTCCAAAAACCCGTTGTCACTTTCATATTAAAACTAAAAATACCTAACATAATAAATACCCGAATTATTATCTCTTAAAATGTAAATATATAATGGGAATTAAAGTTACATTAAAATAAATAAAATATGTAAAAAGCTATAAGAATCATAGATTTTTCAAAAACCAACAGATCTCTACTAATGCTCGCGTGTTGTTATAGTTCTAAATGGAAACTATTCTTCAATGACTTTAACATGACATTAAATTAACTCAGTGAGACGGTCTCGGTGGACAAGGCCGTTACAGCACACATTTCATTAGCTTTGGAAATTCTGTGTTGAAAATACACGTAGTTAAAAATGGATATTATGTTTCGTTTTTGTCAGTTCTAAAGGCTTTTTTTTCGATTTCTTCCTATTTGATATTTAAATATATTTTGGCTTACATTCAACGTACGCCAACTTTACTTTAGGGAATTTAAGGAATGCGTCTCTTTCCCTGCGATGCTGCGTTGAGGACAGTTTCAATTCTTTACTTAAGCTGCATAAAATCCACGTTTCGCAGTATTCTCGCAGCTTATACCACGAATTGAATTTTTAAGATCTGAATGCCGTTCTTAGTAAGAAGATCTTTGTGACCTTTATATGCATTTTTCGTGTGTTCAAGGATGAATTTATACTAGAGGAGCACATCGCATTTCGCTAGTACATAGCTCAAAATGTTTAGTCAGCGTTCTTTGCGCCAGAGAACCCATTTAACTTCCCGATAAGAGTGCTTGAAACACGTTTATCTACGGCAAGCAAGGCACTGGAAACATTAATTTCTTTCTCTGTCTCTTTTCTTCTTTCTTTTCTACACAGATATAAACCCTTACTTCAACTTGTGTCTTCAAACGAGTAATGGAATTGTTTATTTTATATAGAATGTACTAGTACTATTTAAAATTAACCCTGTAATAAAGAGTTTTAAATATAACTGATTTAGTTATTTATTACGTGTTAAAATATTTCTTTGATTTCTTCGCTAACTTTTTCATCTTATCACCTTAAAGAATTTTAGTGTATGTACGCCTATTGAAATTAAAACGTCATCAATAAATCAATAAATATGACTAAAACCTTCCGACACTTCCATCAATATTTTCTAGGATTTAAGTCGGTTCAGACTTTCTCTCTTTTTCATAATGTTCTCTTTACATCAAATGAATGGGTGAAAATCATAATGGTATAAGTGAGATTTTATGAATTCCGAGAAATCTGTTTATTTAAGTCAATATTACTGTAAAGTCATGGTGCTTTGTTTCATTATTCAAATCAGGGAATTTTAATTGTTAAATAAAACAACTAAAATAGCTTGTCACTGAAATATAGCATAAAAATACACACTTTTTACTCACAATTTATAAAATGTCACTTATACCGTACTGGTCTTGTCCCATTCAAATGGTCTGGTGTGTTTCCGGCAGATACAAGTTCCCGGAGTGATTTTGTCTAGTTGGCAGCACAGGCAGGCGCGGCGGTCCTTCGGGTGGGGATGTTGATGGGGGATCTTAGCTTGGAAACGAGACCGGTGTCAGCCTCCTGCGTGCGGTGTATTGTGACGCCAAAAAAGCTTCGAAAAGCCGACGATGAAACAAAGCCAAACATTCCGGAGGCTCCATGGGGAGTCCGTCAGCGACGGCGTCCTCTTGGGACGCTCGTCGACATCACACAAGACGACTCGGTGCAAAAAGTACGTCAAGTTGTGGGCAAGTACTTATGATTAAGTGTTCGAATGATTGCAGAGGAGTGTAAAATACCCCAAACAATCGCTCACAGCAATTTAATTGAGGATTTTTAAATACAAATTGTTCCAAAATTTCGCGACAAATGGATCCTGCACCATGACAATGCGTCGCTCATTTTCTCCGAGTTGCTAGCCAAAATGGATGTGAAAACGCAGCCTCAGCTGAAGTCTCGATTTGTCACCAAATGATTTCCTTTTATTCCAAGGATCAAAAGAACCCTGAAAGGCACTCGGCATGGGATGCTGGAGGCGGAAAAAGCAACTGGGGCGACGACACTGAAAGAGATTATCACTGATGACTTCCAGGGTGCTTTTAATGATTGGGTGAAGCGTTGGCAATGATGCATTGAAGCAAGGGGAGAATACTTCGAAAAGTTATGAAAATATTGTAAACTTATACTGAATAAATGATGTTTAAAAAACCATTCCGGGAACTTTTAGGACAGGCCTTATATGGCCAACTCGTTATTGATTTTTTCATTCACAGAACACTTGTTTGAGTGTGCGAATGCTAATTAGAAGCATATTTCATATCATTAATAGTGACTGTTATACAGCATGATATCCTAAATGCAGGCAAAGAAAACACCGAATTCGGAGTATGTGACATGTTCTCATTTTAACAATAATTTAAGGTAATATGAAAAAACATATTCCTTATTTATTGGAACCTGTAGAATGTATGATAAGCATACATATAGGTTTTGCGACTGAGAATTTTGTGATAGCAGTAGTCACACTTATCCGTAACCATTCGGAAGAACTTCCAGTAAAGTTGCGTCTCGTAAGGCAAATGATATGCAAAATGCAATCATTACATAAAACGTCAAATGGTCCCTTGATTGATTGTTATTGGTTTCTAGTCCGATTAAAAGTCGTTGGCGATTGTCAGTTGCGAGTGAAAAAGAGCAGCGTTGACAGGTGAGTACGTGTACTGGGAACACGTACCACTGAGCACGTGTTCCCAGACACGAAAATAAACCCTTGAAATAAATACTTATAAAATTAACCAAATCTTTTTTTCTAAGGCAAGCAAGGCACTGGAAACAAAAACTTGTTTCCCTGTCGCTTTCCTTCTTTCTTTTCTAAGATGTAAACCACATATTCTCATACATCCATATTGTATGAAGCGCAACTGTCAATCACCAACGTCTTTGAATGGGACCGCAGTTTCCCTCCGTGGCGCGCCCGCTGGCGGTACCCACTGACGACGTCGAAGTGCAGCGGGTACTCGAAGTCGGAGTCGGACGCCTTGAGGCGGTAGACGGCGTGGCCCACGCGCGCGTCCGACGGCACCAGCAGGATGCGCATGCGCGTGGACACGTCGAACAGCGGGTAGTTGGCGCTCACGCCGCCCGCCGCCGCCAGGAGCAGCAGCAGCAGCGGCAGCGCCAGCGCCCACGCCCCCGGCCCCGGCCCCGCCGCCCCCTCTGCGGCCGCCGGCCGGCCGCCCCTGCATGCACCGCAACGAGACGCAGAGACATAATTGTGGCTTGCGTCTGTAGATAATATAATAATTAATAATAATAATAATATAATAATAAATTAATAAATTAATAATAATAATAATAATAATAATAATAATAATAATATAATAATAATAATAATAATAATGCCGTTTCGGTGTGCCGAGGATCGTTTAAGTGCAGTGTGGGTTTGGGACAAAGAATGCGCGCTTACAAGACCCGCCACGGGCAATGTGTGTATTTGTTGGTATGTCTGTTATGTGTGTGCTTGTCTTTTCACCCAGCAATTTATGCGGGCAACCATTTCATCTTCCACACCCCCCGAGCTAACAATCCTGGAGGGAAGAAAAGGATCCAACTGAAATGCAGATTATTCTTAAACATTACATGTCGAGATAATGGTACTAAGCATCGGTAAATACAGGATGCGAGCACGCGTGGTCCAAGTGGGTCTATTCGCGAGCAAAAAATTAAATAATAATAATAATAATAATAATAATAATAATAATAATAATAATGTATTTATTAATGACCAGGCTCAGGCCATAGGGTATGCTCTTTCGCCTAACCATTATCTCTTATTAAGAGGATAGCCCCCTTAAGTATTCTTGCAGGCCGCCCACCCGCCAGAGAACAGTGAACAAACTGGCACTGTTTAAGTTGCACAACACTACTCATTTTAACCAAGTTTCTAGGGTAAATAATGATTTTTATAGTTCTATAATTTTGTATTTGTACATATTGTATATTTCAAGTTATTATCCTTATCCTTTTAATTTTCTGTAGATTAAATGAAGATGAGAGTTAAAAATCTCGTAACAAGTTTGTTGTAAATTACTACTTGTTTGGTTAATAAATATTGTTTAAGGAAGATTATTTCTTTTCCTCCCGTTACACTATATCGTAATACTATTCTGTATCATCACCAAAAAGAGCTATTTTCCTCTCTGAGATATTTGAAAATGTATTAATTTAATGTATGGAAAGAGCGCTTCCATTATTTTCAGCAGGATAAAAAGACGATTAACGAAGAAATTAAATAAAAAATTATATACAATTACAAATCACCCCACTTTCTCCACATCCCAATAAAAATAGCCTATAAATAAAATTGCTTCAACAAAACGCCCTCTCAATAGCCTAAATAACTATATCAGCCCTCGCCCTTTCATTCACCCACAGTGCCCAATCCATCTGCAGAACGGTCCATGTTTCCAATTATTCCTATAAAACTTACTTCTGCAAAAAGCGGCATGACCCATTAGTTAGGAAAGAACAACAAAGTGTAGACCGGCCGCACGGCGAAGTTCCAAGGAAGTCATAGGAAATCCGCCAAGGAGGGGGGGGGGTGAGAGGAGGTGGAAATCCCGGCGCGCGGTGCGTGGGCGAACTCCATCGATCTCGCTCCGGCGGCCTTCGCGCGCTTTTTGTTCCCTCGCCACGCGCCGCTGGGGCTGAGCGCCTTCCGACCGCGGGGAAGTACAAGGGTAAGAAACAAATGGGCCCGTACCGGCCTAATTTCTGAATGAAAGAAGTTTATTTTAGTACCGGCTCTTATGGAAAATATATCGCGGACATATGTTTTTTTTAAGTTATAGAAGAAATTATACGTTACAAGTACTTTTTCTTTTATTCAATACATACTAATTTTTTTTAGAACTCAGGCGGTATTTAATGTAATATACCTCACCGGGCGCAGGAGTAATTGATAAAAAAACACAGTTGCAAAATTCATGGCAACCGAAAGGACTGGATTCCGGCCACATGCACTGCAGTGACGTCGGTGGACGACCCGAGCCATTTCTACCGGTACGAACGTAATGCAAATACCGGACACTCACTATGGAGTAGTGGCGGATCCAGAGGGGTCACACCCTTCCCCCAAAACAACTTTTTTTATTGAATTTACTCCAATGCATTACCATAAATAGATCTCATCACACCCAAAACAGTATTTCCGTATTGATTATACTCGGCCTTATTTGTTCCTGCTAACAATTCTGCTAACAATTAGCAGAAGTACTATTTCAAAAATACTGCTGTGGTCTGAACCAAAATTATCTCCCCTCCCTCCAATATACACTCTGAATTCGCTACTGCTATGGTATTCTCGGTGGAAGAAACAAAACCGTTCCCGAGAGATTTTTTCCGCTCACGCCATCATCTCAATTTATCCCATCATTAATTGGCGTTGTTTCTTCATTTCTATTAAGGTTCTTGGTAGAATACTTAACGATTTGACTCGCCTTACAGCCAAACTTCTGGAGTTATTGAAAAACAATTCGCCCTCAAAGTCGTCATGCAGTAAGGTTTTTCTCTGAGAAACAACATTATAAACTTACTTCATCTCATTGTTCAGAGCAATATATATTTTTTGTACTTTCTAAATGACTCACACCGCATTTATAAATAGGCACAGCTAGGTGCTTATATAGATATTCGCATTCTGACACTTATTCCTGTTCTTGATTCTGGTTACTAATTTCACTTCTTCCCCAAGCGTCCCTTGATGAATTTTCGTTCATTGCTCGAAGGAGATGCTGCATAGGATTTGTTGTGCAGAACAATTTTTTTTACTTTTTGGACGTTTTATGAATACGCGCCAATGTTATTTATAGGAGAAAATGGTTATCTGGTACAAAATTTCCTCTAAAAAAACGAGTATGTTACAATAATTCAGGTGAATTAAGTCTACATTTCTCGATCAACTACAACGTAGTTACCTCCATCTTTTATTCAGTGATTTCGGAGATTCCATTATTTAAAGCGTTGTTGCAAGTCTATAGGCTATTGCGGGTTTATCGACTGCTGTGATTCTATCTGATGTTTTCAATCTAGATAAAACGCAACCCTTTAGTCTTTTTCGTGTTAGAGATAGATATAGCAAAGGGGTACATGGAGAAAGTACAATGAGTGGGGAGAATTGGCAAGAATTGGAAGTGGCCAAGTAATTTTGGTGGGGAACATTTCAAGCTGTGTTCTCTCCAGAAGCTACTTATTTGTCTTCGAGATTCTGGCCTTATCTCGCCCGACGAGGTGAAACCTCACGAACAATACGAATGTAAATGTTGATCATAAGCATGAACTGATACTGAGGACATAGCGCCCTGTTCCCCGTGGAGAGAACGACACCTTACACTGCGATTCATTGATTGATTCAGAGGTTGATGTTTGAAAGGTCACGACAACTGCTAGGGTCATTAGTCCCAGTAGCAAAATGAATATATACCCTGGGAGGTGGCGGTGTTCCTACCTTGGAGGATGGCGAGGTCCGATGCCGACCTACATGCCGCCTTCTGGGATTCCCCCCCCCCAGGTATCTATCGCTGCCAGAGGGGAACCACCCCCAACGGGACAAGCGCTAAGCTGTCAGGTGGTCTCCCGACATGTGTGGTAGTGCACTTAATTGTGTGAGTGTGTATGGGGGAAAGACAGGTCAAAGAAGAGGAAGAAAAATTGCGCCCAGCTCGTTGCCTGTTTGTTAGGATACTTCTCTGGCATTCGCCTGGTGTTGATAAAAAAACTACACAAAATCTTACGCTGTGAGATTATGATTTGATTCAAATATACAAGATAACGATCAAGATTTATCAAGAAGTATGTCTACTTGCAGTTTCGTGGGAACCTTATCGCGACAGACTATTTAATCGTCAAAAACCAATTAACCAAAAGGTAATGTAAAAACTTCGCTGTATTTCATTTTCTGTTCAGTTCATACTTTGGAACTAACATGATTATAACAGCTTCACTCTATTACAAGCATCAGGGATTTTTTCCTCACTTGAGTAATTACTCAAGTAATTTCACACATTTGCGAAAAGAGGCACCTAGTGGCGGACGTTGGTACTGCCTCTGCTTTGGGCGGAATATTAAAATTCTTGGAAATATTGGGTAGTACATCGTAGGGTGCTAAAAAACAAAAGCTAATGCAGGAAACTTCATTTTCAAAAATTATGAGAAAATTTCCTACATAGAAAAGGGCCTATTTCTAAAGAGTATCCGTTTGCCAAGCAGATGGAAATCATCATACCGGCAATATTCTGGAAACTCCTTGACTAACTACATGTTATTATTGTACAATATATCAACAAATAACTTCAAAATGTAATTGATATCAATAATGTATTTGAATTTTCTAATCGGCGCTTCTCGTGCTATTCCGTGTTTTATTAAGACTTCGGAATAATGATATACTTTCACATTTCTCAGAAGATACACGTTAGTCTCAGAATATATACTAGTTTTATAATATTTTCTGGAATTTTACATAATAAATTAAAATGTTGTTGTATAATTCGTATATTCCCGCAATTTCCTCTTCCCGTGATCTTTAATGTTAATGAAGAGGTGGCCCGCAACTCCATCTGGTGCCAAATCTCCGGACTGAAGCTGCAGCACCCTCGCCACCTGGCTTCCTCCAGGTGAACCTTTAGCAATTAACTATTCACTTCATTTCTTATCGTTGTCGCTAAAACTGTCGGAACTATAATTATGAAATTATTTGCATTTGTAGATGAATACTTTGGGCGGAAAGTTGTTCGAGAGGTAAAGGCAAAGTTGAAGTTAATACCTCATATTTATTAATGTACGATTGCGTAAAGTAAGTAAGTAAAATATTAAGAAGGCAAAATCATTACGTACTTTTACAGTATATTTCTGAATACTCTGAATACTATTCCATAGTGTATACATTTTTGTTAATCCTCAGGATTCGTTTAAAATAAAGAACTAAATCCAAGATTCCTGAATGCCCGGATATAGATTACGTAAGGAAGCTTTAAATCATTGTTCAGTTGCACAGACAGGTGTGCTCAAAAATTAAAACTATTAGAAATTACAAATTGAGCAGTCTTATATAACTATTGAATATTGTAATACATAAGGTAGATTAAACATACCTAGTCATTTGTGTAATTTGACATGTTTATTTTTCTTACAACTGTTATAACTATGTTTATAGCGTTGTAGGGGTCGTTGATGGCCTAGTTATTATAGAGCAATCTTAAATAAATATTTTTAATGAAAAAAGAACCAACGACATAATTCTAATATTAGGAAAATGAATGCATTCATATTTCGGAAGAAAAAAAATGTAGGAAGCGGGACCTCCACTATCCAAAGTCACGGTCTCAGAGCGACATTCAAAGAGTGACCTCCAGGAGAAATAACTGCCTGTCCTTTCACGTCCCGGCCGCGTCTCCGGCGCCTTGGAGTTGCGAGGGCGAAAAGAGCTCTGGCAGATTGCTCGCGCTGCGATGCCCTTGCGCCTCCGCTTACAAGCATATGGCGGCGGTGGCGGCGGCACAAGGTCTCGGCCCTCCCGAAATAAAATATTCACTACACTAACGCATCTAAAGACCCTATCAGTTAGTTGATGTGCCAAGAAGCATCAACTGATCAACTGTAAGCGCATGGCGGAGGGGCGGCGGGAAAGCAGAAGACAGAGTGGGACGGGTAGGAGGAGGTGGCGGGAAGCGAGGTAGGGCGTTGCAACGCCGGAACATGCATCCGAGGGCACGCAAGGGGAGAGGTTACGTTGGAATCGAATACGTGCCTGTATCAGATATGGGGATTGTGGAAGAGAATAATTGAGGAATCTCAAGAAGCTTGGCTAAAGCGAGGTTGAAAGGATAAATCGGGGCGAAAAACACAGGAAGAAAATAGGAGATGAGAGACGGAGGGTGAAGTAAGATATCAAAGCCAGTTGCGTTTCAAAATAGAAGAAAAGAAAATCTTAAACAATATTTATTCCATATGGTGTACCTAACAATCCATCAGTTTGGTTATCTTTAATTTATCACAATTCACGGAACCATGTTCGATAAATTCCCAATAAAGAAATAAAAAAAAAGTATTGAATATTTGACTCTTGAATTTCACATAAAACCTCTCTGCTAGACCTCCCATGGACGACTTATAACGTCCTCTCATCAAAATTTTCATTCGAAGAGATTTATACCTCGGAAATCAAAAATGAAGTTGCACTCCATTAATTTGATCTATTAAAATGTAGATTGGTAATGTCATTTCAGACATATTTCTCACATAGAGAAGAGAGGAGAGGTGTGAAATATTAAATATTTTCATACAAATAACTCGTGGTTAGATATAGCAGTGGGAAGAGTATCTGGTAATCTGGTCGAAACAGACGTGCGGGTTTTAGGTAACGGTTTGTGAGATAAGAACACTTAATTTTATTCATTCGTCGAC